AAACGCCTGAATAGCCCCACACCCCATTCTCAAGCACGGAAGCCGCCAGAGTTCTAAAGCGAAAACCCCAAGCCTTAAATCCTAACCCCATGAATCCTAAACTCTATGAATCCTACCCTATGAATCCTGAACCCTAAACCCCAAACCTTAAACTTTATGAGTCCTTTAAACCCTATGAACTCTACCCTATGAATCCTAAACCCTATAAACCCTAAACTTTAAACTTTATGAATCATAAGTCCTAAATCCTAAGCCTTGTGAATCCTGAACCCTAAGCCCTAAATCATAAACCCTACACCTGGATTTTCAGGATCGGGGCCTCTGGCATTTGTTGTAGTCTGCCAAGGCTTTCGGTGTTTTAACAACCTTGTGCTACAAAGTGGGGTTTAGGATAGGGTTAGGCCAGATTCCCAAGCTTTGACCAACACAAGTGTTTGCAGGACGTGAAGAAAGAAGTGAAAGAGGAGGTTTCGAAGGATGTGCGGACGAAAGCAGAGACGGGGATCAAGGAGGAAAAGTCCCAGGAAATGGAGGAGGGAGTCAAAGAGGAGATGACGCAAAAGGCTGCCGTCATGGGGCGTGTGGGAATGCGCAGGCTTCTACGAGGGTCAAGAGAGTCTCCTCCTCTCATCTTTGATCATCCCGTGAGCATCCAGAATTTACACACGGCAGTGCTAGTAGGACATCAAGAAGCCCACCCTAAACCCTAAACCCTTAACCCTAAACCCTAAACCCTAACCCTAGATTCTACAACGTTTCGAAGGCTTGTCATTCCGGCGGTTTGAGCTGTTGGTGAGCACGATCAATCCGATTTCTTGGAGTTTCATGGTGGCGAGAGTTTAGGGTTTAGGGTTTAGGGCTGAAAATCTCGAAGCTTGTTTTGCATCGTCTCAATTCCGACATTGCTTGATTGCCTGTGCTACAGCAGTGAGCATCCGGGCGTTTTCATTGGTCAGGAGCCAGGGCATAGCAGCTGTCAAGTTTGCCTATGCCGTAAACCCTAAACCCTAACCCTTTTGTCGTGTGTTTCCAGGGCATGATGTGGACGTACAGCTTACGCTGCGTGCCGCCGCTGCTTTCAGGGGTTCAGGGCTTAGGTTTTACATATACTAATAGGGCTGAGGGGGTTGGGGTTTAGGGTTGAGGGATTTTGGTTCTAGGGTTTAGGGCTTTGGCCATTCAGGGGTTTAGTGCAGGGAGCTAGGGTTTCTTTTGCTTGTTCTGCAGGTTGTTGACATGTAGGTTCCGGTCGGTAGAGTAGAATAGTAGAGGAGGATGCAGCAAGCTGCAATGTTTAGACGTTTATAATTGTCGACTATTCATGGCAAGAGTATGCTCACCGCAAGGAGTTGCACGTCTTTTTTGTCATGGTTGCCTTGTGGTCAGAACAATTACCCTAAACCCTAAACCTAAACCCTTAAACCCTAAACCCGAAACCTTAAGCCCTGCCTTGAAAGCCCTAAACCCCAGCTGCACAGCAGAGCACGTTAGGGTTGAAACTCATGGTTGCTGGTTGCGTATGTTTCGCACTGGCTTACGTGCTTTGGGGCTTTCCAAGATGCGTCCGCCAGTTCAGAGCTGAGGATTATATGAATGTTCAGGATATAATCCACATAAACACGTGTGTTTTGTATACCTTAAATTAAACCCTATACCCTAAACTTTAAGTCCCTGTGCCGTACGAGTTGCCTTGAAGGCAAAGGCTGAGATCAAAAGTGAGATGAAGCAGGAGGACCTGGTGTTTAGGCGTTTTTGGGACGGGATTTCTTTCGGTTTTCCCTAAACCCTACACCCTAAACCCCTAAACCCACCCCTAAACCCTAAACCCCTAAACCCTGAACCCCAAGCCCCAATCCTTCAGTTTGCGGACATGTTTGCTGTTTAACGGAGCCTCCACAGTCGAAGAACTGCAACACTCGCATGCAGTTTCTGTCCGTTCTCCTACATCGCAAAGGACCAGCAAATGCAAAGCCAGGTGCATCTTGGCAGCAAGTTTCGGTCTCTGACGTGGGGCATTTGCAGTGCGCCAGGGCTAGGACATTCTAAGGCGCAGCGCAAGAGGTTACTATAGAAGGGGCCCAAAGCCTAAATAACTACCAATACTAGTTGGGGTGTTCCATGTTATAATTCTAGCGTTCTATCGCTCAAGACTCCATTATAATTATTGAGACCCCTATGTTAACTGCAAAAGCTTGAGGAGCATCTGGGTCAAGCTTTTTCAGATTTGGGCTTGCGACTTTCTTCTGGAGGGGGAGCTACTGCCTCACGGTTTTTGATTCAACGGTTTAGGGTTTGCGGTTTAGGGGCCTTAATAGTTAGAATAGGATTTTGGGTTATATTATACTATACTTATAATAGTAAGGAACCCCCAAAATAGTATAGGTAATTATTAAGGCCCCTACATTCGGGTTTGGGGGCTGGGCGAGAGTGTGTCTTTATCGGTTTCTTGTGCATCTTAGCTCTCGCTGCTGCTCCCTGCATGGACAAGGCATCCAGAAAGCAAACGTATGTTCTATTCTACTCTTGGATGCTGTGCACTTTTTCTTGCCATAGATATCCGGTCATCGGTGCCCTTCATATGTTTACCTAGTTTTGTATACTGAATTATTGGTGACATTGCCTTCAAACCGAGGACTGGTGTGAAGCGCGAGCTCGTGCATGAAGAGGAGCAGGCGTGTGTTAACGAGGAGCATGCTGAGCAGGCTGGTCCGATCCAAGAAGCCAAGAGGCGTCGCATCAGCCAGAAGAGTCCGGACATCTCAGTTTCATCCTTCCAGTCGCGAGTGACAGAGTGGGCACAGAAATGCCTAGCATTTCAATCCTCTGGCAAGACGTGGCTGCCCACGAAGCCTTGCTGTCCGGCCAGCCCGTTTCTCGGACTAGCAGCAGCTCCGTGGCAAGGGTGTGAGAAGGACGCGGCAGCAGCATGCATGCAGCTCCTCAGCAAAGAGCAGTTCAGAGAGTTGCGCGACTTCTATCACGAGAACCCACACCATGCCCTCTTCCATGGCAACAGTGACCCAAGCAGCAAACGACAGACAGAGACCACTGGTGGATCCAGGCTGCAGGCCCACAGGAGCTCGACCGGCAATCAGCACCGAGCAGCTGAGTGCATGAAGATGTGGCCTTGGATGCGGGACCTTCCCACACGAGCTTGGGCCGGCAACGGCTGGCTGCTCGTGGAGGACGGCATGATGAAGCTCTCGCCGACCGGAGGGGGCTCCGCGATGCAGGGCCTCGAGATCTTCGAGTCCATGGGCTCCGTTCCGGAACCTGGCGAGACATCCAGCAGAGCAGAGCCCAGAGCCGAGCAAGGCCAGGTCGTCACGAAGAGCTTCCGCGGTCTGGAGCGCCAGAGCGGCATCCAGGGAATTTCCTGGAGGATGGACTTGTCGGGCTGGCGCATTCAATGGTTTGAAGGCAACGGCCGAAAGGCTCGCAACTTCCCCATCTCAGAGCGCATGAAGCTGGGCCTCTGCGAAGCGGAGGCCTCGGAGGCGGCCCTTGAGGAGGCCAAGGCTTTCCGCGAGGAGCTCGTGCGCCAGGAGAAGCTGAAGCCGCCGAAGCCCAGCTCCACGCACGTCCCCAGATCGATCGTGAGAGGAGTAAGCTACTGGGAGAAGCCAGGAACTTGGCGAGTAGAGTTCTCGCACCCCTGCACCAAGAAGAAGGTCCAAGGAGGCTATTTCAAGGTGAAGGAGGAGGCCGAGGCCCGGGCTCGGGAGTTGGCCAAGGAGCTGGGGCTGCAGGAGGAGCTGGTGCCAGTGAAGCCGCTCTCGGAGCTCCCGCACTTCGAGCCGCTGGGTCCACAGCAAGGGATCAAGTGGAACCGTGGCGAGCAAGCGTGGAAAGCCCAGTGCAACGTCTCTGGAAGCAACAGGAACATGAGGTTCCGCCCGAAGGACTTCTCGCCGAAGGAGGTGGAGAAGTCCTGGAAGCAGGCGGTGGCCTGGCGCAAGCAGCAGGAGAAGGAGAGGGAGCGGCCCGAGCAGTCCCGGAAGCTATGAGGAGCACTGTATTCTCTCACGCCAGAAGGATGTTCAAGCTGAGCATCGATTGGGTTACCTTAATCTCCTCAACCCCTCAACCCCTAACCCCTAGCCCCTGAACCCCTAATCCCAAAACCCTAAACAATCCTAAACGGTCTAGGGTTTCAACAAACAAGCAGGCAGCCTTGGATCTAAGAGGTCGGCACTGCTGTATTTTAAGTAGTCACACTTTCGGCTGGGGTTCTGCTGCTCACAAAAAGCGCACGGTACCATCAAGTAAACCCTAAACCCTCACACCCTAAACCCGAAACTTTAAACATGGGGTGAGGTTTGAGGTTTTGATTTTGTACGCATCCAAAGAGCTGTCCGCATGCAGTACAACTGAATACAACTGAGTAGTCAGGCGTTCGTCGCTCCAGACTTCTTGGTGCGCTGCGCCGTAAACCCTAAACCCTAAATCCTAAACCCTAAACCCTAAACCTCAATAAGTTGGATGCGAGAGGATTCGGAGCCAGGACCCCTAAAGAGCCTACTTTGTTAAGGACTTATAAGGAAATCATAATAAGGGTTTAGGGTTTAGGGTTCCCTGATCAGGTGGGTTATGTCGGGTGCAGGATGCGCCTAGGTTTTTTTTAGGGTCTTGCTGTATTTGAGGCTTGTGAGCTCACGGTGTCGGGACTTGGGATGTCGATAGGTCTGAGGTGTACGCCTGATATATATATATATATATGTATATATATATATAGATCATCTGCATAGAGCAGGTCATACCATATACATATATATATATATACATATATATATATATATATACACGCATAATTCATCCCACCTTTCCTCATTGCCACCCTCGGATAGTGGTTGCGGTTCGATGCATGTTCGCTCAGGGATAGCCAGGATTTCTTTTCTTGTCTAGGAAGTTTCCCTAAACCCTAAACCCTAACCCCGAAACCCTAAACCCTAAACCCGAAACCCTAGTTTCTCAAGCTGGGAACCGCAAGACATGCCCAGGCCGTACCACTGGCCGGCCCCTAGCTACAGCTACCCTGGTCACGTGCCGCCAGCTGGCCATCCGCCCCCTCCCCAAGGACCGAAGGGCATTCAGGATTGAAAGCTCAAAGTTTATAGATCTCGAACAAGCTATACTTACTACTCTATACCCACTACTCTAAGGGTTCTGGCCTCTGCTTAAGGGGGGGTCATCACCTACTGACTATTTTGCAGGGTTTGGGCCCACGGGAATGCTAAGTCGGTTGCAGATCTTTGGAGGCCTCGGGCCTTCCTCAACTCCAAACCTAAAAGCCTGATCCGTAAACCTCGTTAAAGATTCAGTAAGGGTTTAGGGTTTAGGGTTTAGGGTTTTTTTATCCTGAAAGCAGTCGAACGAGCTCTGTAATTGCATGGCATCGGTAAGAAACCTGCTACGAACGCAGAAAAATGAAGCCAACAACCTGCCGGAGTCAGGAGAAAGATAGCCTGTATAGTGGGTCCTCGTAGGTAAACCCTAAACCCTAAACCCTAAACCCTAAACCCTAAACCCTAAACCCTAAACCCAAACCGTGTCTCTTGCGATTTTACGATGTTCGTGATGTGCTCTGGCCTTGGGGGCCGCCTGGATACCTGCAGAAGGGTCCCTTTAAGGGTTACTGTAACGGGCTTGCTATATGGGACTTTCCAAAAATTAGGGGGTACCTTATTTTAGGGGTCCTTATGATAAGGATCCTATTATTTAGGGTACTATATTAGGTTCCCCTATTTTCGGAAACCCCCATATGGGTTCTTTAAGGTCTAGGGTCTAATTTCCACGTACGAATACAGCATATGCTTAGGCCCTAAAGGGATTCCTATATCGGTGCTTTCCGGCCTACTAAGTACATACTTTGTAGGTACATGAAACCTTTGGGAGAGGAGGTGCGACAAGAGTAGTGTGGGTGGGGTGCAAGGGTTCAGGGTTTAGGTGTTTCGGTGTACAGGGTTTCGGGCTTAGGGAACTGATGGCTTAGTGTTATAGGGTTTGTGGATGGGCCTGTAGCTAAATCCTAAACCGTTTGGATGGTAGCACCAGCCTCATAAGCTCTACGCATTCAGTCCCCTGACCCGCCAGCAGGCTTCGATTTGGTTTACTGTGTGTGCGGTTTAGACTTTAGGGTTTAGGGTTTCGCTCTTTGCCAGAACTCTTGCATTTTTTTACTTCCCACTGTGCATTCCTGATACTGCAAAGCTTCATGTTTAGCTCATGTTAAATAAAAGAAAGGCAGGTAGAGGCATGCTTTTGTGAACCGGGCCGGAGCCGTATAAGAAACCGAGATCAAACAAAGACATCGCTCCAGGCCCAAAGCCCTGCCGACAAAGACAAGCCCTCAGAGAACCCCCTAGATCCCGTACAACGAGCCTGAAAAGGAACTCCAGAAGCTTTCCGAAAAGGAACGGCTGCACCCAAAACATCTTTGCACTGCAGGCCCTTATGGATCCCTTCCAGAAGTTTTTGCAGACCCTAAACCCTAAACCCCCAGCATTCTTCTATCCTAAGCCCTAAACCCTATAAGCCCTAAACAAAACCCTGTAAAGCCTTAACGCCCCCATACCCCAAGCCCTACGAGGCGGCAAGCGCTATAATACCCCACAAAGTCCCTACACAACCCCGCAAAGCCCACATAAGCTTCAGAAACCCTAAACCCCAAAACCCCAAAGCCCTAAACTCCCCAAACCCTAAACCCTAAACCATAGACCCCTAAACCCTAAGCTCCCTAAACCCCCTATTGTCAGCCCCCAGAAAGAGAGGCTACCCCCCGCCTACCTCGCCCTTCTCTGTGGCGCCTTCCGGGTTGCCACCTCCTTGGGCGGTGCCGCCAGGCCACCCTGGGCGAAGCTTAGGGGCTTCGGGTTTAGGGTTTAGCGTTTAGGGTTTAGGTTTTAGGTTTTAGGTTTTAGGTTTCAGGGTTTAGGGTTTAGGGTTTAGGGCTGCGGGCTGGGAGGTGTTGTGGTTTAGGCTCTCGGGGATTTGTGGTTTTGGGGGTTAGGGTCTAGGGTTNNGGTTTAGGGTTTAGGGAGGTTTTGGGCTCAGGGTTCAGGGTGGCTTTATCATTGGGTGCTCATAGTTTTTGATTTGTTTTGGTTAGTGGGTGTTGTCGGGTGTTCTTTTCGGTTTCTGTATAGAGTGTATAACAGTTTAGGGCTGGGCGAGAGCCATTAAATTGCCCCAATCAAAACCCAAACCCTAAACCGTTCGAAACCTCTTCAAGAGCAAAACCCTGAACCCCAACCCCCCCCCTCCAAAAAAAA